TGCCTGAGCCCAGCAGGTCAAGGCTGCGGTGGCTGTGAGTGTGCCACTGCACTCCAGCCTAGGCAACAGAGTGAGACTCTAACTCAAAAAAAAAAAAGATAATAATAACCAGCACACCAAATGATTTCAAGTACTTTTGTTAAAGGTAAGACACCTCCTCAAGAAAAAAGAAGATATAAAGAAAAGTGTTACATAATTAATAATACTGATGGCCTACAGCAGGTAGTGAACTGGAAGCCCAAGTGGTAGGAGGCCGTGGGAGAGAAAGGATCCTTCCCTCTGCCTGACTGTAGATGTCCTGGGCCTCTAGGGTCCTGATGTTACAACTCTGACTTTTCACGCCAGTTACTGGCTGCATTCAAGTTCAACTGCAGCAGGCAGCTCCTTTTGGGGTCTTTGTGGGAGTGAGGCTGGTGATGACTCTGCTTCTGCCATTTCCCCCCTAGGAACGTCGTGAAGGGCATGAGGGAGCTCCGGGAGGTCCTGCGGACTGTGGAGACCAAAGCAACTCAGAACTTCAAAGTGGTAACGTGGGGCAGTGACTGTGGCCGACTTATTCATGGGTCAATTTCAGCAGGAGATGTTAGAAATCCTGGCAGGCCGCCCCTGAACCAGGGATGGCAGTCGGTCTCGTGCCTGCCCCTGCCGCCTGTCCCCTGCTCACGGCAAACATTGGTAATCCACCTCGGGGTTCTTTCCCACTAAGCCTGGGAAGTGCCCTCTGCACCCTTCTCATCACAGCGCAGCAGATATCCCCTGGCAGCATGCAGATTCTTTCCTGCCCCAATACTGCCCTGCCCTCATAGGCCTTGGTTCATCCAAAATCACAGCCACAGCTGCTTTTCACGCTAGATTCTCAATCAGATATCAGAAAGGTGTCTGATCCAGAGAGCCGCCTGCCCTTGTGGCTTCAGAATGCTCTTTCTGAACACCGCAAGCGCCTACTGAATGCTCAGAGCAGGACTGGGCTCCACGGGCTCACGAGAGGGAGGAATCGCTCCTCTGTTCAGGAGAGCAGAGAAAATATGGGGGAGCCATCCAAGTCTAGTGGGACTCAGTGCTTCAGGGACTGAGAGAGGCGAGGGGACTCCTTGGGAGTAAAGTTGGGGATCTCCGGAGGGGCAGCATATTGGAAGGCCAGCAGATTTGGCCGGGTGGTGAGCAGAGGGGGTGTCCTGGTCCCCCTAGAGGACAGCTGTTACCTGTGCTTGGGTCTGAGTGTCTCTCTCTCTCTCTGCCAGATGGCGGCCAAGCACCTTGCGGGGGTTTTGCTGCACTCGCTAAGTGAAGAGTGCTACTGGAGCCCCCTGTCCCACCCCCTGCCCGAGTTCATGGGCAAGGAGGAGAATTCCTTCGCCACGCAGGCCCTGCGGAAGCCGCACCTCTATGAAGGAGACAAGTAAGTTCTACACACCCTGCTGATCACTCGGAACTCACGCCTAGGGCAGGGTCTGTCCCTACTGATGGCTCCTCTGCCCAGCACCCTCCTCCAGTCTCCACGCCAGGCAGGCTACCCTGTCTCAGCAGGAGCCAGATAGATGAGAAAAGGCAGGCCTGGGGTGCAGGCTGCAGAAGAATTCTGTACGGCACCCAGAGGACACCCCAATCATCTGAAGGCCGCCTGTCTTCCTAATAGTCCTGTCTGATCCGCCTCTCTCTTGTTTGTGTCAATAATAGAAGGAGGGGTCTGTGGTCTCTTCCCCGCGCCTCTGCCCAGCCTCATGCAGTGCTGTGTGCTGGAAAGTGTGCGTCTTCGCCAAGAGCTCCCATGGGAATTCTGGCCCAGCCACCCCTACTGCCCACCACCGCCCGCTGCTGTCTTTCAGATCCTTCACTCTGGGGCATGTTAAGGAGCTGCCGGTGGTATCCGGTGCCCGTGAATTATGCAGGAGAGGGTCACCTTTCAGGGCTGCATGGAGCCGGGGCAGAAAAGCCGGCATGGTGTACTGGTGGTGCCTTGAGCCAGGTCTGCCATTTGTGTCTTTCAGCCTCTACTGCCCCAAGGACAACATCGAGGAAGCCCTCCTGCTCCTCCTCATCAGCGAGTCCATGGTAAGCTCCAGGGCATTCCTCCGGGGCCTCTGGCACTCTGGCCCCGTGGGGTAGGGCTTGGGGCTAGACTACAGGCCACCATGCCTTGGCCAAGGTTTTCCCGCCCAGGGACTCCCCTAAAGCAGGAGCTTCTTGGCCCGGCTTCCTATATGGAGAAGAGTCTATCTCATCAGGTTTAGGTTTGACTGCGTTTGGAGGTCTGTGTTCTGTACCCACATGAGGAAACGGAGTGATGGAGTGCACTGGGCCCCACCTACCACTTTTGGGATTAAAAAGATGATTATCAAGAAGTCAGTAGTGTGCACTGAGCAGCTCTGCGTTGGATGCCGTGAGAGATGCAAGAGAGTGGTAGTCAGGGAGTGGAAGGAGTGTGCACTTTGCAGGCAGAAAACCTGGATCCGGGTTCCAACTCTGCTGCTCCTTAACTGAGGGCTGGGAGAGAATCAGTGATTCTCTCCCAGCCTGTCTCCTCCCCTGTAAGATGGCAGTAGCTCGCAGAGGTAGAGCATTCATTCGTTCATGCAACAACTACTTATTGAGCATCTACTTTGTGCCAGGCCTTGTTCCAGAGGTGCTACAGCAAACAAAGCACAGAAAAGTCCCTGCCCTCGTGGAGCTTATACTCTCATGAGGAAAGGGACCAACACATCAATTAACAGCTACAGTATTCAGGGTATCCACCCGTGACATGCAGACACAAGGCATGCTGGACAAAGCACATGTGAAATGCTGTATAGACTTTTTCACAAAACCCACTGCCTGTGCCCTGGGCGGGAGGGGGGACAAGACAAACACACGCGCCTACATGCGCTCGCATGCGCACATGTACATGCACGGTGGCCATGGTCCCAGACAGTGTTTTCCCAGGGCTGAGGTGCTTTGGAGACTCGGCGAAGGAGAGCATAGTGTGGTTGGGTGGTCCAGGAGGTGTAAGATGAAGGGTGGACTGGACTGGACTTACCTGAGGGCATGCAGGAAGAGCAGAGCAGGAATAGCAGAAGCTAAGTATGGAGGTACTGTCCATGTGACCAGGTCCAAGTCTTCTGTCTGAGGGGCCCGTCAGAGCTGGCGAGCTAGAAACCACCAGCCTGAGAAACAGGTCTTTTAAAACAGTGCATATGAGAGCAGTGTATAGGCGTGAAGGTTATGAGATGAAGACCAGTCAGACACAGTGGTACACACCTGTAATCCCAGCACCTTGGAAGGCAGAGGTAAGAGGACTGCCTGAGTCCAGGGGTTCGAGACCAGCCTGGGCAAGTTGACGGTACTACGTCTCTACAATAAACCAAAAAAAATTAGACAGGCATGGTGGCGCGCACCTGTGATTCCAGCTACTTGGAAAACTGAGATGGAAAGATCACCTGAGCCTAGCAGGTCGAGGCTGCGGTGACTGTGAGCCTGCCTCTGCATTCCAGCCTGGGTGCCAGAATGGGACTCCTACTCAAGGAAAAAAAAAGAGACCAAGACCCCATGAACCGGATCCCTGAACAGCCAAAAACAGATGTTCCTTTTGCTGTTGTGACCATGCGATGCCAGGGCTTGTTGAGGGAGCTCTGACTGCCGGGTTGCCTTTGGCTCTGTCTGGGATCTCGGCAAGTAGACAGGAGGAGGCACGCCGGACTGCGGGCGGAGAGATTGTATCTTTCCTCAGCCGGGCATGGTCCATGTTGGATCCGGGAGTTCCTGGGTAGGGTATGGATATTTGGAAGAGTAGTGCCACCTGGCCAGGGTTTTGCCCTGAAATGTGTGCTTGTGAGGGGGGTAAGTAGTTGCTCAGGGGAGAGAATGTCTCACTGGTTAGCCAGATGTGGAGATAGAGGGACCAAGTGTCAGATCTGATTTTCGTAAGAGAATAGTGTGCTTTTCACAGAAAATGGGCGCTCGCTCTGACCACAGACTAGAACCCCAGTTTCGAATTATGGAACCCCAGATGCAGACTAATACTCCCACCTCTCCCCTATCTCACGACCTCTGCCCTCAACTGCCCTCAGTTGAGACTTCACTGAATCACCAGTCTTGGAAAACAAGGGTCATTATTGTCACCTTTGTATGCTGAGGTTGCAGTGCTGTTCACAGATGGTGACAGGACCAAAAAAAAGGGGGGGGACCATTTCTTAGGCCTCTGCAAGGTTCTAAGCTGCTCAGGTGAACATCGTGGAGAGCCCTATGAAATTGCCCATTTTTAAATTGTTTATGACCTACAAAAACAACAGTTTCCTGTAGTTTTGTCTAATTATAAATGATCTCATCTTGCAGGTGGCCAAAGTAAGGTCCAGACTAGGTCCAGGTCGGCCGGCCAGGTATCATCCTGGGAGATTTTCTGTGGCATACTGGGGGTCTGTCCAGGAGATTGAGGAGTGGGGGCTGGGGCAGTCTAGGTTGACTGGCCAGGCGTCGTCCTGAGAGAGTCTCTGTGGCATACCGGGGGCCTTACAGGAAACTGGCAGGAAATCAACCATGCAGCATCCTGGGAGATGCCCAGCAGCAAACCAGAGAAAGGCACTGCCCAGACTCTGCACTGAGGCTGGGAGGAGGCACCTCTGGGGAGCAGGGGGACTGGCTGATTTGTTTCCCCTTGCTCACACCCAGCTTGTCAGACACTTAGAAACCTGAGGGATTTGGGGGAGAGCGTTGGTGATGGACGCAGCTTTAACACCTCCTCTGCAGAGGCCTTTCCACCTGGCTGCGGATCTGGCCTCTGTGGCTGGGTCGCTTTCTCATCTGCCTTTGCATCACATTCTTGATCAGTGAGAGAACTAGGGCGTGGGCTGCACTGGGCCAGCCTTCCAGGCTCCTGCCCTGACCCCCGGCTGAACCCCAAGGCTCCATGTACTCAGCCTGGCCTCCGTGTTCCTGCAGGGGTTTTCTCATTTCCCTTTGATGTGGCGGGGCTGGGCTGCAGATGATGGGCTTGGGGAGAAACCGCCAGAGCAGTAGCTGGTGGCCTTGGCTGCTCCTTGGTTCTCCGGATACCTGCAGAATCCATTATGCTGCAGTGAAAGCGCTCCCCGCAGAGCCAACCCATCCCCGCTCCCACTCCGGGACGTCCAGAGCAGCTGCTGCAGGAAACAGGGTTGCAGTCTTCCCTGTCTTGTGGTTTGGACCTCAGAGGAGTAGCTGCCTGGTGTGGGGCTCGTGCCTTGGATACGGTTTGTGTTACAAGCTGATTCTGTGTGATCGGAAGGAATGAGGGAGTCCTTGTCTTTCAAGAGGTGAACAGAAGCCTAACTTGTGCTCTCCCAGGAATGCAAGGGACATGAGCTATAACTGGCTGGATTTGATTTATGTTTTGGACCCAGTTTTGAGTCATTGGGGCCAAAAAGGCATTTAAAAATCCATCCACCCGCCCAACCATCCATCCACCCGCCCACCATCCACCCATCTAATCTTGTTTAAGCAGCTACAACACACCAGACCATGCTTATAGCACTAGATACAATGATGAATAGTTTGCTCATCGTCCCTGTCCCAAATGTCCTCCCACCTAGTACGGTGTGTGACCAGGGATATGGGGGAAGTTGTGGTCCCCAAATCAGAAGGACTTAGCCCAATCTGCAGAATTTTTGTTTTTGAAAGATTTGTGAATCAGACCAGCCTGATTTTTCGAAACAGTAGGGGAACCAGGAGATACAGGGATCTTTGCTATTTCTAACACTGGGGCATAAAATTATATGCTCAAGCAAACGGAACTGTTGGGTCCCTGTTTCATTCAGTTGGGGAAGAAGTTGCTGCAGGTATAGGTGCTTGGAAATGGAAAGGATACAGAGGCCTAGTGTTGAGTGAGGGTGGGTGGATGGATAGTTCTCTGGGAATGGGGCCCTGCAGGTTAACAAACTAACTTTGTGTCATGCCCGGTGCTGGGCATCTAGTGATTTGAGACTTGATTTTTGCCATTTACAACCTGCATGGCCTGGGCGAGATTCTTACCCTCCCGAGCCTCAGTTTTCTCATCTGTACACTGAAGCTTATAAGACTGCTTTTGCAGGAGTTTGGGCAGATTAAGTAAGAAAATAAACACGAAGGTGCCTGGAACATTTCAGTTGTTCAGTATGTACTCATTTTTGTCCTGATAAATACTTGGTTCTGACTTAGTCATTTTTGAAAACATTTAGGTTCAGATCTGGTTGGAAGATAAATTGGATTGAGGATACCATTCCGTTTAAAAAAAAAAAGTGCTTCCTGGGCTTGATTCCATTAGGGACTCAGCAGATGAGCACAGATTGTTCCAGCTTTTGGCACCTGGTTTGCTCCAACACAAGGCCCTGCTCTGCTAGAGGCTGCTATGTTAGAGGGTCTAATAGCGCTGCCAGCTCAGAGCCCCTGGATTGGTAGTGGATGGAGAACCTCTGTGATTTCTGCCACAGGAGTCCGGCGCGGCAGGAGCATGGGAGCGCACATGGGCCCTGTCTGGGTCGCTGGGTGGATGGGACGCGTCACGGAGCATGTTGTTTATTGGCTCTGTGACTGGCAGCTCGAGACCTGGTGGTAATTATGTCTGCCAGTGGGGGGCAACAGTATAAGAGGAACACAACAGTACCCTCCAGGGAGGGGCCAGCCGCTGGGCACAGATGCCACCGGGAAACTTATTTCCGGGGTGATTTTTTGAGGGGTGTCAGCAGCAGTCCATGGGGCTCATTCCTTGGCCAATGGATAGGCTGTCTCGGAGAATGGGGCTGGGCTGAGCGAGGCTTTGGACCCAAGAAGCATATTCTTTGCAGAGAAGCAACCTGGTCTGTGCTTTGCTTTGGTTCTGTCATGAGTGGAGCCAACCCAGGGTCTCTGATGGCATGGACGAGGCTACTGGACACTTTCTCAGAGGCATCTGGAGGCCGGGGAGGAGTCAAGGGCAAAGTCAGAATATCTGGGTTTAATCTGAGGTCCAGCCTCCCGTCTGTATGCATTGGGCAGCTCCCTGGGACTCATTCAGTCTTCTCATCTGTGAAATAGGCTGTTGTGAGAATTATGAGATGCTGTGTAGAGAGTGTTCCTCGATCTAGCTC